CGGCCGCATGATATAACACCATAGTCCTAGCCGATGCCCTTTTTCTTAAATGCAAGAAAAGGGCAAAACGTAGCTCATGAGTCCATATGGTAAACTGTAACGCAGCCATCATTCACAGTGAATGTTTTAAGTTAGCGCAGAAGCGCTTAATCGCACTGGAAGCCTGGCGCTCGCCACTTGGGTTTATTAAACTTTTAAATGCATTGCAAGCCTCTCCTTCCTCTTCCCTTGCTAGCATAAACAGATTCTGAATGACTGATTTGATTATATGAACAGTTCGGTGTGTTATAGGACTGGGTAACAGCCTCGGAAATCCGGATCATGTTGACGCGAATGAATACATTCGGTGACGAGGTTTTTCGCGATCCAAAAGTTTTGCGCTCCTACTACTATGCAATATCGGATTTTGCTGTCGGTGGAAGGTAAATTCTTTTGCAGTTGATAAACTAACAGTTCCTTCGTATACTTGGGATTTTGGATTTTCTAACTTTTAGTAGTTTTTCTTTAAGAAATTTTGTGAGCTTTCCAAAAGATTTTTAACAAACATATTTGAAAATTCTGGAACTTCCGACAAACTTGGTCACGAAATTTTCCAATTTTTTTTAGCACCAGTCGTTTACTGGAGCACTTCTTTTTCCTAAAAAATACACTTGTATGTGAAGTTATCAAACAGTCCGAGAAGAGTAGTACCACACACTTTGCAAAAGGGCAATGCCATATAGTCCGAAAAGGTTCATTATGTAATCCCCGAAAAAGGGTAGCATAATGTAATTCGAAAAAGAAGGTGCAACTTCATTTTCTCGTCTTTTTCTTTTCCTCCACTTAGTTGGGAATTTTGGCTATGCATCTTTTAATGCAGCTGGTGGTGTATTTTCATGCATTTTAGCACCTAGAAGCTGTTTTTAACGACATTTCTCTACAGTCTTGCTAGGTGCTGTTTTATCAGAGTTCTCCCAAGTAGATGTGATCCAGGATACAAAAAGCGGTAGCTTATCTTTCAGTTTAATTGGTACCTCGGATGCTGTGCTGTAGAAGTGATTTATCGTGAAATTTTTCGAAAAATTTCTATTGTTAAAAATGAGAACAGGTGCAAATGTAACGGACACGCAAGTGAGTGCGTCAAGTCAACTGGTGATGGCGAGGATCGTTTGGTGTGCCGCTGCGAGCATAACACGATGGGCGCCGACTGCAATCAGTGCTTACCGTTTTACAACGATCGGCCATGGCGAGCCGGAACTGCCAAAGAAGCGAACGAGTGCATCGGTGAGTTAAAACTACCTCGAAACAAACTACTATGGAACTAGAACACCGCTGGTTTTACTACGACACCCAGTCTCACACCAATCATTAATTGATACTATTTATCTCTTTTGTCTCCTTGTATTTTCCATGAGGAGTTTTAGCTTATTATTTTAGTTCCGTGAGCATTTGTTCCACCAAACTCTCCTTTTTCTTTCTCTTCTTCCTGTTTTCACCCTCTTCTGCTTATTCTCTAATAACTACCGTTCTCTGTTCCGGCCTCGACTATATAAAAAGGCCGATTCTCTACATGGCTGGTGGAATACCGTATTAATTATTCCCACTAGGATTAAACATAAACTACATACTGACGTGTTCTTTCACTAAATGTTTCAATTTCTTCCTTGCTCGCCTTATAAGACAGCTCTGAAGTCGGAGTATGCCCAGTCTGTACCTTAGAATAAGAAAAGCATTTACGGGCCCGTAAAAGTTTACCCATTTACGGGCCCGTGAAAGTTTTTTGCGGGTAAGTCGCTAACCCGCGAACCAGAAAATCTAGAAAACTGAAATTTTAAGGGGATGTTTCCTCGTCCATGTAAGTCTAAATAATCTCAAAACCAGCCCCCGCGAAGCGTGACACTCGCGTACGGACTCGCCAAAGTTTTTTTCAGGTAAGTTCATAACTCGGGGATCTGAGAAGCTAGAATGCTGAAATCTTAAGGGAATTTTCCCCGTCCAAGTAGTGTTAATGAGCTTAAACTCAGCCTTCGGGTAAGCATGGTACCCACGTACGGACCCGCCAAAATTTTTTTTGGGTAAGTTGATAACTCGAGCACTTGAAAAGCTAAAGGACTGTAATTTTAAGAAGATATTCCTCGTCCACCTAAGTCCCACTGAGTTCAAACCTAGCCTTCGGGTAAGCGTGGTACCCGCGTACGACCTGTGAAATTTTCTTTTCGGGTAAGTTCATAACTCGGGGATCGTAGATGTTAGAAATATTCGAGGGATTTTCCCCAACAACTGGATATTAATGTGCTCAAACCCAGCCCTCAGGTATGCGTGTTACCCGCGCATGGGCCCGCCAAAGTTTTTTTCGGGTAAGTTGATTACTCGAGTACCTGAAAAAGGCTAAAGGACTGTTACTTTAAGACCATATTCTTCGTCCACCTA